AATAATGATAATAATAATGGTCATCATCATCATCATAAAAATGATAATAATAACATTAATATTATAAAAACAATAATTATTATTATAATTATAATTATGATAACAATAATTAATAATAATGAATAACAAAAAGAAGAAGAAGAAGGAGAAATTCGTCTGTCAGTATCTGACGCTGGCCAGTGTATCAGCAGAGGAAAATATTATTCATAAAGAGAAACAGAAAAATTGAATAAGGGTTGTAGTGAATCCGCTATGGCCAATGAGACCAGTTCTGGCAAATAAAGCCTTTGAAACAAGAGGACATTGAAATACATATCATATGGAATGAACAGACATATCAAGGGAGTTGATGCGTCTTTGGGGAATGCATGACTATAAAGGGCAATTTTATTTTCAACGGGTGGCTTAGGCGAGTGGTAACGTATTTGACTTGCAATGAGAACTTTAAAAATCGATTTAGATAATATGTGAGGCATCGTGGTAAAATCAGGCTCTCGTCAAAATAATCAAAGTAAAGAAACTTGCATTTTTCCGCAGGTTTGTGAATTTTTATAAAATTTTTGTTTTTCGGCTCAACACCCTTTATACCCATTACAGAACTCAATGCTGAGTGGATTTTTCTGAAAAGCTTTGATTAAAGGCACAAAAAAGTAAATTTTCAGTTACAACGGACTCTTAAGCTAAGGAAATAACTAATCTTTGGCGGCCATTGTCTCACTAATTTTACCTAAGAAAACAGGTGACCCCCACCTCCTTCTTTTGCAAATATCTCGATTTGTATTCAAGATAAATGGATATTTTTTTCATCCAAATAAAGACAAGTGAACACGCTTTAAGATGATACCAATAACTCTACAGACCCAAAATTTGACGAGAGCCTGATTCCTCCACGCTTCCTCACATATGGGTCTTTTGGATAACGCATTGTATCTTAGCTGCCAGTAATGTAAGAATGTTCAGTGTGCTGTTGAGATGCTGTTTCTGAAAATTACTGACATTACTGTGATGAAAGTTAAATTCACGTGAACAAACAAACTAGATTCTGTCAAATCGTATACAAGTACAATCGAACCTGCTGCCCAAGACACACATCCTTTGTTTAGGAGAAAAATGATCATTTTTAGACAGGTAGCCTTTACGTACAATGTCATTAACTCTTTGGAGATGTAATGGACACATATGTCCGATTATTTGAAGAGAAAAGTAAAGATTTTGGCATATTTTGAACCATCATACACAAATCAGACAAATAATTTTGCATATTTCATAGTATGCACACTATTTTAAGCCTTTTAACATTTCAGATAAACAAAATAAAAGAGAAACACATGTTTTACCGATGAAGTTATGCCTCAAAACAGAGCATCTCCAAGCGTTGACCAATGACCAGAAAGAGCGTCTTCAATCAATTAAAATTATATAGACAAACGCAAGAAGAGACGTGGGATATGATCTTTTGTAAAGGTGGTTATCTTGCACAGGCATCGTTAGAGCCGGTTCGATTGTACGTGAAAAGAGTCTAGTTTGTGGAATAATAAATAGCACGCCCAAGGAAACCACTCACAGCCGTCAAAGAATGCAAGAGCAGCCAGGATAAGGAATGGTGTCTCTTTTCCTGCAAACTCGTACATGATTCCGCCAAAAGGTGGGCCCACTGGAGATGAGAGGGGAAACAATACCATGTCAAATAATTGTGTATTATCTGTCTGTATTCTTCTGATAACATATATATCTTGTTCTGACTAATATATGTTTTTAAAAATAACCTCTTCTTCTCCTTCTTCTAATTCCCCTGCTATATTGATAAGGGGGTCGACTGCCCGCTCTTCAACCTGCAGTGCAACTAATTTCTATACGAATGGCATTTTTCCTCCTTTAAATCATTGTATTTCTAGGCACGGCTCATTCAGATTGTTCATTTCTAACTGCTTTTTACATTAAAGTGTTTATGTTTTTACCGCTTTATGGCCATTGCGTTTTTGGTTTATATGGTTGGTTTGATCAGTCATAAATGATTAACACTAAGTCAAAATATAGATCTATGATGTTTCCTGTTCGCCAAAAAGAACACTTCTTATTGTAATAGGCCCATCGCATACACAAGATAAACCACCATGTTGATCAATAGCCATGTTAGCTGGATTTGTTTGGATGGACATACAGAGGGGTGGTGGGACATGGGAATGTTCCGATCCATGATAGATTCTCATCCTTTGGTTCATTCATTCGTTTTCCTTTTCTAGTGTGTGTTTTTTGCTTTCAGGGTAGAAAGGACGGGTGGCTGTTGCAAACTTTCAGATCATTGCTGTTTAAAAGTTCTTACTATTTTTTGTTCAAAATAATGATATCATTAAGCTGAAGAACTTTTTGAAAATGCAGGTCTGAAAACTTTTATTGTGGAATATAAACGTTAGCTGTTCACCCTCTTCTCCGAATCTCAGCTCTACCTCCGACCCCAGTCTCCTCCACTTTGCGGCCCCTGTTGGTCTGTTCACCCCCCCCCCCTACCCCACCACGACTTTTGCTATATTTGATATACTATTTATTATCTCGAGCGACATTTGCCTCAACCATTACTCACCGAGGACCCCCATGGCCAGGCCTCCTAGAGCAATACCCATGGCATTCCCTCGCTCTTTATCGTCAGGGAAATATGTCGCTATCATACCCATTCCTGTGGAAGGAAAAGATAAACAGACGATTTTTAGGTCGTTTGGGTATATAGGGAAACGATATGCAAGTAACACAGCGTTGTCCATGCTTACTTGATGAAAACAGAAAAATAAAAATAAAAATGACGTAACTGGTGTAAAGGAAATAGAAATACCTAGCAAGTAGAACTTCACAACAATGTGTGGTTGGAAGCGTAATTGTAACAGTTTTACATCCCCATCTGCACAATTTAGATCATTTGGGGGTTTGGGGGACAGGGGAGTTAGCTTTTTCGGCTCTGCCTGGCAGTGCTAACCGATGCTGAGAGGATAAAACACTCTTACAGAGAGAAGGAGAATCGTTACAAGAGAAAAATTCGCATAAGAGAATCGAACGGTTGTCTTCCGTGCCCAACAGTAAAGCACCTAACCGCTACACCACAGACGCTGATTCAATTGTTTATAAAAATAAATCAATCAAGAAAACAAAATTGTGGCCCTAACAGAAGTTCATTGTGTTAACTGCTATTGATATATTATTATGTTCAAGCTAGTTCATAGTTTGCTCGATCGATGTCAGATGCATTTTTACATGCACCCTTTGTTTATAATCGGGATATCTGACACACTCACATGTACTCAGTGTGTTTGTCCAGCCAGTGAGGCGGAACTCTCCTGTGTCGGCGATTTACTCATTACTGTGTGTGTATGTGTTGTGTTTGTGTGTGTGTAGTGTTGTGTTAGTGCGTGTGTGATTGTGTTTGTTTAGTGTTGCGCATGTGTGAGTGTGTGTGTGTACATTATATATATATGTGTGTGTGTGTGTGTGGGGGGGGAAGGGAGTGTTTGTGTCTATGATTGTGCACGCGCCCGTGTATGCATGTCGTGTGTGTGTGTTTGTTTTGTGTTGCGTACATGTGAGTGTGTGTGATATGTATGGGTGTGAGTGGGTGTGTCTGTATTGAGGGGTGTTCGTGGATTGATATTTTGATTTGTGGGATATGATTCGTATTCTCATCCTTTTTAGTAGTATTATTTGGGCTCAAAAAGGATTTTTTCAATTAGTCATGACAGCAGTGACAGAAACTGCGAAAAGTCGGAAATTGAAGTACGAGGTAGCACTCAGCTGAAGATGTGTGACCACTTTTGTCAATTCGCATGACACACAATGTGTCGTGTTTCGTATTTCGCGTTCCGTGTCTCTTCTTGGGTTTTTAATCCAGTGCACTTTGCAGAAAGTTTCACCAAATCACCATCTAATGTGTTTTGATACTTTTGAAGGCGACAAGCTTTTCCTTCACGAATGGTCAAAAGCCACCATCTTGTGACAATTTGATCAATTCCTCCAAAGTGTAATGCATGCAAATCTGTGTACACGCTTGATCTGTGTATGTTGATGTGCTAATGTAAGCCTCCAAACTTTATCTTGCAGCTCAATTAAGTGTATCTTATCTTATCTTATCATATCTTAGCTTGCTGTACCTTGTTTTATTTTAAATATCTTATCTTAACTTGTCTTGTCTTATATATCTTATCTTACCTGCCACACTAGAACACGAGGAGCCAATGCCTTGCACCGTCCTCGCCACAAACAGCACAGTGTAAGTCTCTCCGAAGGCAAAAACTGTGGACATTGGATACGACGGGTTGGGTGAACATCAAGACTGTTAGGAGATGCTCGTAATGAAATAGTAAAAAAATGTATTATATAAATACACAAATAAATCAATGTACAATTTTTTAAAATGATATTGTATTCTGCTCTCTTCTTTCATTTTTTTCTAATCTTTATTTTACCACTTAAATAATTATGAGAAAAGAGTGAGAGTTCTAGTATCCCAATATCATCCTGGCAAAGTTTGAGAGGTTCGTACTTTAGAGGGAAGGAGGTTTTACAAGAAAAATTAATGACCAATACGAAGTTTTATGAGAGGGGCAGATAACAAGGGGAGAAAAAAAGGAGGAGGGGGGGGGGGCGGAGGGCGTTTTTCAAGAGAGACGAGAGGAGCATTTTGAGAGAAACACGTGTAACGAAAAGTGTGTTAAACGAAAGGGAAAAAAGGGGGGGGGGGCATTTTGCAAGAAACACGTGTAACGAGAGGGATATAATCTGATTAGAAAATGCCTTACTTATGGTTGAGACCATCATAATGACAAACCCTGTAAACATTGGGATCGTGTAGCCAATCCTGTGGAATAAGACAAAATTAAAGATGTAACTCAGAATTAAAAGAACATCGATAGAGGAAGCTGTTTTAAAACGTATTGCTCTTTGTTTGTATTTAGAACGAGCATATTATGAAGTGAAGAACAAATATTTAAATATGAGAACTGTATGGTGTTACATAAACACCACGCATATAAAATCAGTTGTAACACCTATCTACTTTCTCCCTGAAATGACTTACTTTTCCTTAGAACTGAAATGAAGACCCTTTTTACGCTACTCTCCCCAAAATAAAACAACTAGAAGAAGAAGAAGAAGAAGAAGAAAAAGAAGAAGAAGAATGATGATAATTAAAAAAACAATGATAATGATAATAATCATTTTGTCAGAAAATGATAATAGTGATAATTGTTGTGTATTATTATTATTATTATTATTATTATTATTATTATTATTATTATTATTATTATTATCTGAAAACATGGTAGTTTACCTGTTTGTGATAGGTCCTATGAAGGGGTTGGCAATGAGCTGCATGATGGCCTTAGAAGCAAACATAAAGCCGACCTCTATGTTCTCAGCGTCCAGGTCTGCATGCCTCGGAGACCTCTCTGTGACTGTCATAAACTCCATGGATAAATTCCTCCACACCGTCTCATTGTGGCATTCTGTGTACATTGGACGGTCTGGCCTACCATACCTGCCCACGTAGTACCTACCTAGAGGCTGTAGAATTGACGCCATGGTATCGTTCATGTCTATGGGAGGCGATAGGGTTTTATTTCTGCAAATGAGTTCTATTGTGGGAGCTTCTGTTATGCCCAGCTCAGCTTTTGAACGGTTCACGACGACGTAAGGGTTTTCTAGTTTGCGTAGAAAGTTTGGCACAATTGGTACTGTGGAGAAAGAAGCATAGACAAATGTGGTTGTAGGCGTCATTTTGGTCTCTCAGGAGATCACGTACATGTAGGAAGAGAGTCTTGAAACTCCTCACCTATCCCATGTTAAAGTTATCCAATTGTTGATACTACACAGTGCCATCTTCCTGCATCAATTTCTGTCAACCTCTTTATAGTCAAGGGAGCAGACATTCTTTGAAACCTTACAGAAGTTGTAGTTTTCATACCACCCATCAACTTGTATTTCTAGATACAAAGACAAAGATTGAAACAGAGACAGAGACAGATGCAGAGACCAATAGGCAGGCAGATACAGAGACACCTACAGAGAAAGAGATAGAGATAGAGATATATACAGAGATATACAGAGGTAGAAACAGAGACAGGGACAAAGGTAGAGACAGATACACAAACCTATAGAGAGACAGATACAGACACAGACATGGAAACAGGGACAGATATAAAGACAGACATAGATACTCAGATAAAGACGACCAGAACAAGAGTTGCACAGAGGCATAGACAGAGATAAGTACAAATACAGAGGCAGATATAGGAGCAGGGTCGGAGAGAGAGAGAGAGAGAGAGAGAGAGAGAGAGAGAGAGAGAGAGAGAGACAGACAGACAGACAGACAGAG